GGCCCTTTCCCGCTACCAAACCCCCCCACCACAGAAAGCCAACACACCAGGTGAGCATCCCTCCCTCCTGCCAAGGGTACCAAGCCGAGGGATGTGCCGCTCCCTGGCAGGACACGATGGGGTGGGAAAATTGGGAAGGGGGCCGTCAGAAGCAAGGGGCTCAGGTTGGCTGGCCCCGCTGCAGGTCCCTGGGCTCCGAGCAGCCCTATGAGCGGGTGCGGTAGCAAAGCGGACAGCGTGGGTCCTTCCTGCGGCCGTCCTCCACGTGGGGACGCGGCACGGGCCGGCGCGGCCATCGCAGGGCTCAGCCGAGGTGGCTCTGTCTGCTGTTGGGCTGCAGTTTGATGCTGTCGGAGCTGCTCTGCGAGTCAGGGGGCCTTCTTGCCTGTAGCACCATGGTCCAGTACCAGAGGAAGATGAGGAAACCTGGGGAAGGAGGGAGGAAGGGTGGGTGAACCCCTTCTAAGAGCCAACAGCAGCCGAGAGTGAACCCGTCACCTCTCATACCCCATCACCACCCCACCAATAGCCCAGGAAAGCACCGGTGCCTACGGAAGAGCCCGGTATCCCAGGCTCACCTTGTAGGGAATTGATGATGGTGAAGATGTAAAGGGAGACAAGGCGGAAGACGCCGGAGGTGAAGGAGAAGAAGACCAGGGCCCAGGGGATGCCCAGCAGGATGCTGAGCCCAAAGAGGGCAAGGACGTGCTTGAGCTTGTGGCCTTTCTTGTTCTGCCGGAGGATCTCCCGGACCATGGCCCCCAGCATGACCGAGTTAAAGAGGAACACCAGGCTGAAGAAACCCAGGTTCACGACGTTATGGATCAGGGAGCTTGTGATCCAGCATCTGGAGGGAGGAGAAAGAGCAGAGGGTTATGCTGTGTTGTCGCACAGGGGCACAAGGTGGAAAGGTTGGGAGAAGCACAAAGGTACGTGGCAAACCCGGCAGCCCGTTCCATTAAACCCTGAGGGGGAATCCCCCACCCTGCACAAAGCTCCAGAAAACCCTCAGGTAGGCAAACGAAAGCCTGCAGGACAGGGTGAAGGCTTAGCCAGTTGACTTTATCTAAGCCTAGGGACCAAGCAACCCGTTTCCCATGACTTACATGGTTGCATTGGTGGATTTGCCACCAACAGATTCATAGACAGGGATGGAGAAGGGACCATAGTTCGTCCAGCTAGCCAGGAAGATCAGCATCACGCAGAAGAAGGGAAGTCCTGGGTGTCAAGAACAGAGTAAAGTGGCTACTCTAGTCCCCAGCCCTCAGACTTTCTGGAAGGATTTGTTGCCCCTGTCTCCCCATACAGAGTACAAACCAACATCCTCCCTCCCAAGGGGAACCAAGGGTTCACCCCCCAGGGTGACCCACCCTTGCTCTACCACCAGCTTCTGCTCTCAGCCCTCAAGTCTCCTTCTCCACTGAGCGTCTCGACAGAGACCCCTCTGCTTTCAGACACCTGCTCCCCCACAGCTACATCCCCATCCAGGCACTGTATACAGTGGGAAAGACCCACCCGGATGCCCCTCCACCCCATGCACCCTCAGGGCATCTCTGCCTCCCCCATGCTCACCCCAGCCCACCAGGCAGAGCTTGAGGAGGAAGTGGTCGTGGTAGGCGTTGAAGACTTCGATCACAAGCCGGTAGAGGTTGTAGCCCTCGATGCCCATCCAGGTGAGGCAGCTCAGGAGGGAGAAGTGCAGGAACAGCCCGCCGGCTCTGCAGACCGCCTCGCTGCTGCTGGAAGCCAAGTGCTCGGAGATGAGGAAGGTGATGTCCAGGAGGAAGATGGCACCCAGCAGGTTCATGTGGATGTGCATGCTTGTGATCTGGTCTCGCTGCTTGCTTCTGGAGAATTGAAGCAGGGAGACCTCACCACCATGCCTGGCCAGCATCCTTGGTGCCCCACAACACCTCACAGCTCCACAGCCAGGAGACCTTCTGGGGCTGAGAGCCTAATCCCAAGGGAGGGACCATCCGCTACATGTGCAAATTCGGGTTCCTGCAGCTGACCCTGCATTTTGGGTCTAGGCCACAGAGGGTTGGGAGTGACATCATTTCAGCTCTGAATCATCCACGTATCATCAATGACATGACTCAGGAGAAGACACTCATGTTCTCCACTGGGCCCCTGAAAAGATCTTTGCAGACTTCTGCTTGCCGTATCCATAGCAACCACCAAGCTGATTTTCCAGAATCAATGAAAACAGCCCGTGTTTCCGAGAGCCCTTGCAGGAGAACCAACCAAGGGATTGGTTTCTGGAGAGGAGAACTCTGCTTTCTTCAAACATGGTTCCTTCATCACGCTTCTAGCCAGGCCATCAACTGGCAGTGGACAGGACACAGACAGGGAGCGTGGGGTGAACTGTCAGACTGTACCTGAAGTAGAGGAAGAAGATGGTGCAAATGGATGCCAACGCTGAGATCAGGCAGCCGATGTAGGTTATGATACTCAGGTAATCCCTGTGTATATAGGTGATCTCTGGGGAGGATACCTGAGGGGAAGGAGGAACAAGAGATGGTGAGGAAGAGCAGTTGATGGGAATGACGTAGAGAGCTGTTGGAAGGTGCTACCCACCATCAGCACAGCAAAGTAGGTGAGGTGGTTGCATCTGCAGTCCGTCTGGCTGCCCCTCGTTGCTGTTGTACAACCGTAGCTGTCCCAGCTCCCAGAGCTGGCTGTGCGAGAGAAAGGGAGAGTATCTGGTGAGCAGCAGGAACAGCTGCTTCGGGATCTTCAGGGCAAGGTGTCCATGGCAGGGGAGGGCAAAAGCGGGGGTCCCAGCTTGTCCCATGCCAAGCACACGCATTCAGATAGCACCCTCAGTATCAGGACCCATCACTAGGGAAGGAGAAAGCTCTTGGGTTAGCTATGGAGGGAAAAACCTGAAATCAACCCCATGAGAAAGGCTTATGGAGCTGGAGCGAGGGAAGGAGGTGCAGAGGGACTTTTACCTCTACCAGAAGGGCTGTGGTACCCTGCCAAAGGAGCAAAGGCAGCACCTGGCTTCACACCAGGCGCAGGAGCACTCACCGGTGGAGTCCTCCTGCCAGAAGACGCACAGCGGGGTCACGTTCCTCTGCAATGACAAAACCGCGGGCCCTGACCGGGATGCAGCCGTGGGTTTGCTGCCCGGCCAGCACATTTGGTAGGGGAGAACATGGGACAGGAGGCGAGATGGTCTCAGGAGACAAACCATTCCATTTCATGGGAGCGGGCTCCAGGCAGAGACCGTTCTCTTGGCTGCCCATGGAGCAGATACCTCCTCCCAGGTCACCCTTTTCAAATAAGGGGTTCAGCTTTGAGCAGGTGCCTGACAGGGCCATGAATGAGCAAGGGACTATTAACTCAAAGTGTCCCACAGCCTTGAAGATTGTGTTGAAGGTGACAAAAAAATGCAAAGCAGCATCTGGACAGGCACAGGCAGTGCCACCACCAGTGCACACAGTGAAGCCATGACCATGACACAGCCCCAGAAGACATAGCAGACCCTGTACAGGCAGGCCAAGGGCATGAACCTGCCTGAATTGTGACCACTCTCCAGGCTGGCAGGGCCTGAGCCCTCCTTGCACCTCCAATCCTGGTGGGATCAGGTTCAGGGAGGCTGTTTCCCAACCTACCGGCAGCTGGTTGTGGAAGAAAGTGAGGACCACTGGGTCAGAGAGATTGGCCACCACCGTGTCCACCAAGGAGATGCCGACCACCTTGTCCCCCAGGATGTGGCTGCTGTTTTCATCCTGTTAGAGAAGAGGAGGCAGTGGCAGCATGGGAAGGGAGAGCTGCTGGACGTGAAGCAGGTGAGAGTCCCCCCAAGAAGGAGGTCCCATGCCTCTTTCCCCATCAAGCTTCTAGCACCTTTGAAGCATCTTCTCTGAGCAAGCACTGGCACCTTGGTCCTGTACCGCCACGGCCCCCGGCACAGCAGGGACATCCCACCATGCCATATGCATAGGCATTACCTGGAATATGGTCTGGCTGTTGATATCCAGGAGGAGCACCCTGTGCTCCACCACCTCCTCCCTCTCCTTTGCCGTCATGAACAGGCTGCTTGGCAGGTCCACCGTGAACCCATGGACCTCTCCACCCTCCTGCAAGGAAAGACTCGTCAGGAGAGAGGTTGGGAGAGGATGCCGGTGGGCCAAGGCCACCAGGACAGGCTGCCCAGGACTCACCTCTCTCTGGGAAGAAAAGGCCAAGTTTCGAGGATCCTGAGTGGGCTGGACCCTCAGGACGGTCGCATGCACAGTGGCCTTCCCAAAGGTCTGGTTCTGCCCTTCAAGCTCTACCTTGGCCAGTGCCTTCTCCAGCTCCCCAAGCTTGCTGTTAGGGAAGGGGCGCAGTGAGCGGGATGCAGTGGGCATTGCATCGGTGGCAGTGGGAACAGCATGAGCGAGGAACTCACCGCCGAAGCATCCGCTGCTCCGTGGCTCCTGCGGCCAGCACCGGGGGCTGGGCAATAAGGCTGTCCAGGGTGGTGAGCTGCTCCTCCACGTCTTGCTCCCAGACGGGCATGCTCTCTGGAGAGGCTGACGGGCACATGAAAGGAAGTGCTGTGAGATGCATGGGCAGAGCCAAATTCTCCATGCCCCTACCCAACCAGGCACAGCCATGGTGGGAGCAGAAAGCAGAGGGCTTCAAGGTGACCCCAAGCCCAGGGAGCTGATGGACACCCCAACCCAGAGGGTTTCTCCTGACACTTGGAGCTCAACTCCCACCAAGGCCATTGGGATCAAGCTGGCTGAGGCTAGCTAGATGCCTAGCAGTGCAGAAGGAACCCTCAGAGACCTCCGCAAAGCCCATGATTTTCCAGGATTTTAGGGGACAAAACACTTGAAAATCTCTATCTTTAGGGAACCCGGGTCCAGAGGGCAGCCCTTCGGCTGCTTCGCATAAACCTACGTCCCCTTCCATCACCCTCAACTGTGTCTTCACATCACGCTGTAGCACATCCTAGGACACCAACAATGCTCTGCTGATGGCCCGAGATCGGGCTGGGGATGAAACAAACCCTTGATTTCATTAAAATAACACTGAACTGCCTTTACCAGGGAAGAAGTATTCAGATGCGCTGTCAAGGGAGGTGTTCTTCCCACCCTTTGAGATGTAGGACACATTGAAGATGGATGTGCTGGTTCTTTCAGTCTTCTGACTCTCCTTCCCCCGGGGGAGGCGGCTGGATGGGTCCCCTCCCAGGAGGAAGCTCTGCTTCCCATATGCCAGCCTCAGGGTCCTGTTGGCCTTGAACCAGTAGATGCAGAAGCGGTACCTGCCCAAGGTGGGGGGCAAGCTGTACTTGTAGTAAGAGTTTCTCCTGTTTGGCAAAAAGGGCCTTTTTATTATCAGCGCCTGGGCCGTGTTCTCGATGGAGATGGTGGCAGGGCCGTGCTCATAGATGACGGAGCTGTTCTGGGTCTGGTTCCGGTCACCGCAGAAGCGGAAATCCTCTTCCCAGCGTCCAATGGCTCCCACCCCTGCGATGCACAAGTGCACGGAGACACCGGTTCAGCCGGAGAGACGGCCACACCCAGCAAACTCCGAACCCCCACGGCAGCCGTCACACCCTGGACATCCCAACCCTGTCCTGGAGGGGCTGCATGATGTCAGCCACCTCCCCGACATCCCCATAGCCATGCCGGGAGGGTTTGTCGGGAGCCGAGGCTCCTGGGGTGGCAGGACTTCCCGTGTCTTGGTGCCACCCTCTCCCAGGTGCCACCACCTGTGTCGGCATAGACAGACAGAGGGGCTCTCCCTCTCCAGAGGGGATGGATGGAGCCCAGGTCCTTACTCTGGAAAAGACCCATCCTGCCCCAGAGACTGCACCAGAGGCACGTCAGCTCATGAGCTGTTTCACCTCTGTGTAAGCCATGGCTGCAAACACCCTTTGGTGTACCCCAGCCAAATTTCTGAGGCTGCCAATTACATCCACAGCCCAAACCCAGCCCACTGACCCAGGGCAGGATGTGGCTGGAAACAGCCTACCTTGGAGGGGGGAGAGAAGGAGCAGAAGGAGGACCTTCATCCCGGGCAGCTCCCTGCTTTGGCTTGGCCTCTGAGGAGAAAGCAGAGCCTGGAAGGGTACAAACGAAAGGGGCCACATGAGTATTTAGGTGTCACCATACCATGGGGTCAGGGGATGGAGAGCAAAAGCTGAGCCAGTGGGACACAAGCCAGTGTCACAGCCAGCTCCCCGGTGCCTCTGCCACCAGGAGGAGACACAAACATCGGGCATCCCACCCAGCTGCGAGCTGGAAGGACCGGGCCCCCAGGTTTTCAGCATGGGGAGGGTGCCCCACCACCCCCTTGCAGGCACCAAACACCAACGATTCGACACAGGAGGGGTCCCCTCTTCCACTCCCTGCTTCATATCTTGGTTCATGCCTTGGCTTCTTATCGCAAGTCATAGGAACAGAAGGAAACATCTGTTTCCTAATTCGCCAGCCCTAAAATTATTTCCACGGGTGCTTTCAGCTCCTGCAGATTAGCCAAAGAGCCAGGCATGTTGCAAACTGCTCCACCATTTCAGCCTGGCAGAAATGGGCTCTCCCAGGCTCATCCCAGTGATGCCAACGCAACAACCGTGTCTGCCAAAACCCCTTCTGTCCCTCACAACCAGCCAGGAAACATCCTCCACATCCCTTTCCCCATCCCTCATCCTCTATTCCGTTCCATCACCCTTTTCTTTGTCTTTATATGCAGCCAGGGCTCCTGTGACCTGCACCCAGGCCAGCGCTGAGGACCACAGGGTGCTCCACCCAGCTGCAGCCTTCACACCCACAGCCCTTCCCATTGCGCTTTCTGCCTTTCCCACGCTGCAAGCTGCGTTTTCGGCACTGCTGAGATGCACCGAGCTTCACCACCTCCTCGTCCTCCTGCCAGCCCGGCAATGGGTGGGACCCAGCCTGCCGGGGTCCAGCAACCAGCAAGAGTTCCCCCAGGGTGGGACAGCATTGGTGGGGCTGCCAGACCAGCCGGAAAATCCAAACGTTTGCCAATGCCCAAAGCCAAGCTGGTACCTGGTTTGCCACCACTGCAACCCACTCCTGTGCTGCTCTCAAGGCATCCTCCTTGAAACCCGCCGAGAGGCCAAATCCTGTTTTGTGCTGCAAGCAGGTGCCAGGGAACCCACCAGCATCACCTGAGCTCCTGAGCTCTCCCAATCACCCAAGGGCCATCAGATGGGAAGGCTGGGAAATATCACCTGCTTGAAAACTCAGCACCCCTCTTAGCAGGCTTCTCCCACCAGCACAGGCTCTTCCAGAGGTTTCTCCAACCGGCACGGATCCCCGGCACATCCTGCACTGGCACAGCCTGCTCAGCAACCCTCCCTGTCTGCTTCTTGCATAGTTTATCACCGCAAGACAAGCATTTCAGGTTGTTAATTAACCTGCTGCCATGGGTATAACTGAGTGTGGCGGTAACGAGGTTCCCTGGTGTGGGCTGGGAGGGGACGGCACACGGAAAACTTGGTAGCAGTAGCTGGATGCGGACAGGGCTGGCATCCCGGTGCCTCGCTACACGCTTGGGAAACATGCACGTGTATCCGAAAAGTATGGATCTGGGGTGGCAAAATGCCGGTGGCGATGGGAAACCCCTGGAATGCTTAAAAGCAACAGAGCAGCATGCAAATGCCAACTGTGGTGTGATGGCACAGAGCCGGCATGGCAGAAAAGCATGCCCTCCGGATGGGGAATGCTGAATCCCAATGAGGCTTCAGCCCATCCCACTGCACTGGCTCTGTTGGGATTTTATTGGGGTAGTTAGAGGACAGGATCGGCCCCTTTCAGCCGTTACTCAACCGGGACCAGAAATCCCTGTGGGGATGTGGGTGGGGAGCTGGTATTTCCCCTCCAAGCCCTATATGGTCCCGCTCACCCCGACACCGATTGCTGTTTCCTGAGACAAACAATAGTGAGGGAAAATCCCCTGAAAATGGTTTCACAGCGGGAAAACACAGTTCCCATCCGTGCCAGTGATAAGCTATGCTGGAGGGAGCTGGATACACAGAGCCCATGCCAGGGCTGGATCCTGCCCCGTCATCTTCCCCTCCCTGGGCACCAGTGGGGACATGTGGCATCGATGCCATCGGGGCATCTCCCCAGTGTCACCCGTCTTGAAAAGCTCTGCGCTACTGCCGTGACCAAGCAGAGACCCCCTTCAGCACCAACCCTACCTCCTCTCCATCATCCCCGAGGCAGAACATCTTTACCCACTGCCCCAGCCAGAGGCTGGGGACTGAGCTCCTCCGAGAACAATAACACATAGAAAAACTCCTGGTTTGGCCCCAAAATCAGCTCAATGATGTAAAAAGAGGTGGTGGACACAATGCCGGGGCTACGCAGTCTGGAACGGGCTCCCTCACCACCAGCACAAGTGAGGCTCAGCCCCAGGCATCACGCTGTATCCTCCCATCACCGTTACAAGAACATGCTGGTCTCGGTAAGAAAAGCCAAAGAATAACACTGCGACCTCGAAGCCTGGAGGCAAATGGAAAATTAAGAACCTGAAAAAGACACACACACAAAAAACCCCTGGTGTTTACTACCACCTTACTGCTCTCTGGGTGACTTGGCAGCAGGTATTTGAGCTTTCGGAGGTGTTAGGTGGCTTTTGGACATGACGTTTTTCCCGAGAAGGGAAGATTCTCTAATGCCTCAACCAAACACCGGAAACAGGGAGATCCAGGGACTTTTATCTCTTTTCCTTCCAGGTCTGTTAGGAAACTAGACCAACGCTCTGTTCCTCAAATGCTAATGAGCCTGCGGCTTGTCACCCACCCGCAGCCTATTACCCAGGCAAGGACTCAGGGACCGGATGGGGAAACTGAGGCACAAAGCCAAGCCAGGATGGGCTCCTCGAGATGCAGAACAGCTTTGCACAACCAGCCCCCATCATATGGGCCCCAGACGATGCGACCTGGTGCTGGAGCTGCCCGAGGAGGCAGGTACCCCAGCAGGGACTCCCCCCCCGAAGGGATGCCCCAGCACTGGTCACTGGGGTGCTTCACAAACTGCCCTTGTCCACAGCCAGCGGCCCATGCGCACAGGAGCCAGCCCGCACGTTATTCACGGCATTGGCATGCGAGCCTTTCCCGTCACCGGTGGGCGGCAGGGTCCGACCCGGCGCATTTATGAATGCCCGAGGCGCGGAGCGGCAGCTGCGCCGTGCCGGCAGCCCGGCTGTGCCAAGCCTGTGCTGCGGGATCGGCTCTTCTCAGCTTGTGGGGTTGCACACAACACCCAGCACCCGTGAGCCGAGTTTTGCCAACAGGATAAAACCAGACCCGATAAAGATTCCCACGGGAGCGGCACAGCTCCCTGCCAGATCCATCCTTTGCCAGCCGCTGGCAACCATCCCTTCCCGAGCAGGCGTGGGGAGAGCCATGGGATGAGCCGAGGGGAGGCTGGCACATGCAGACCAACACTGCCTGAGGCTTTGAGATGGAGAGTTTGCTTAAAGCTGGGTCTTAACGGTCAAAATTTTTAAAAGTTTCCATTTCCTAAAAAATACCAGAGCCAGAAATATCACAGAGAACCTGCAGCTTCGGCAGAGCAGCAAATGGCCCGTGAAGGACCAGGTACGCCTGCGGCGAATTGAGGGCTGCCTGAAATGAGAACGAAGCGGAGCAGGCTGTCTTCCCCTGGCACCCTGTGCCACGCCACCGGCCTCGGGTGGTACGGACAGACACCTTCACGGCACGCTCCCACCGCTCAGCCTCCTCCAGGAGAAACCCCTTGGCCTCCTTCGGTGGGTCAGTTTGTACCTTCCCTCCATCCAAACCACCCCCCTGAGTTTAAAATGGCTCCCAAAACACCCCATCCCCTCCCAGGTCTCGTCCCTCTCCACATGAGCGAGGTCCCCATCGCCTGCCCGTGCCATAGATGCCGGGGAATGGAGGTACGGGGCAGGGCAGAGCAGCCCAGGACCACCCTAAAACAGGCTCGCAGGCACTTGGCACGGGAAGCAGCCAACCTGGAGCCCAGTGAGGGTTGAACCTAATCCCGGCGGGCTTCAGAAAAGCCAAGCGCAGCCAGGAAGAAGGCTGTGGCACCCAAGGAGCCAGGTAAGAGGTGATGAGCACCCCCCAAGATCCCTGCCAAACCCCAGCTGTCGGTGAGCTGATGGGAAAGGAGTCGGCGGGTCGGAGCCCTCCTGAAAAACATGTGCCAGCAGGCTGCCACCCAGCTTGCGCCGCCGGGCGCTGGCACGCTGGGAGCCCACCAGCACACCGTCTGCAAACCCCGCAGCGCCGCATCCCTCCGACACCCATGGGTGCCACCGCAAGGTGCGGGGACAGCCGGCCCCGGGGGACCCCAGCCCAGCAACATGCAGTTGCTTGCAAACCTGTTGCTCTGCGAATAGCAGCCCCGGGGCCG